CACATCAGCAGCAGCAACATCAGCAGCATCAACAACAACTTATACAACAACAACAACAACAAACACAACAACAGCAACAACTCATGCAATCACAACACCCACTTGGCCCACTGGGCTCTTCCCAGCAAGCGGCTCAGTTCTATCCGAATTCTCAAGTAGCAGCTACTGCTGCCCTTAACCGTCTCACTCAAGCTCAACAGCAGGCTCATCGCACTGGCCAGCCACCTCTGTCTGGTCCCGGATCAATGTCGCCAGCATTCGCCAACCCCCTGTCACAGGACCAAATCCGATCTTTCCTCGCCGATTCTGCAAACAACCCTTCCAACTCCCATTCCAGCGACACTTCTCATGACCCATCTTCAATTCCCATGGGGCGATTGCTACCTAACCAACAAAATTCATCCCAGCACGCGTTCTCCCCTCAGTCAACCCTCCCCGCTGAGCAAAATAAACTGATGGCTACTATCAGCGCCGCTAAAACAGGTCGTTTACCCAACGAACTGATTGATGTCCTGTTTGAAAAAGTTGGCGCTGACGTTTTTCGTGCTGCTGGGCTCGCTCATTTTTTGGACGAAGCAGGGAACTTGGTCTATCCTCCGCCAGACCCCCAAAATCCTCAGCAGACTCAACCTAGGCTCAGAAACACGGATCTTCCGCCTAATTCGATGGGCCCTGTTGGTGGAATTGCTGCCCAAACCACGTCGACTCAGCTGTCTAGTGTATCGGCTAGTCCTTATCCAGCGCCGCTCACTTCATCTGGTCTTCCGCCCAGTTCAATCACTCCCCAGCCGCCTCCTTCACATACTTCTGCACCGCACTCTCGCCAACCATCCCAGCTACAACCTACTTCAAACCACTCGCAAATTCTGCATCAGCAAGCTTTCTCGCATCCTGCTCACACTCTCCCACAACAACAACAACAACAGCCGCCACCACCGCAGCAGCAACAGCAGCAACAACAACAGCAACAGCAACAACAACAACAACAACAACAACAGCAGCAGCAGCAGCAGCAGGCACACCAGCAGCTGCAAGCTCAGCAACAACAAACCCTCCATCTCCAACAGCAGCAGCAGCCCCCACATCATTTGCAACAGCAATCACAAGGGGGCTCAAATCGTTTGGCCCACCCTCAGTCGCAGATGCATACTTCGAAACTGCCAGAGATTGATGAGGCGGCGCTGCTCAGCATGAAACGACAGTTGCACAGCCTGCAGCAGTTCTTAAACCAAGTCAATTATCTCCAGCGTTGCTTGTCTGACAATATAATTCTTCCAACCGATGCTCAGCCGCATTCAAGGCCGATGTCCGCAGAGGAAAAAACGCATTTTGAAGCAGATCTCATCAAAGCTCGCCTTCAACATTCTCACCTCACCAATCAACTTAGAGTAATGGTCGACCAACAGGGGGGTAAAGACCTCTTGAACTTTTTATTAAAAAGCTTTCCAGGTGGCCTTGGTCTAGGCCCGAGCGCAATGCCACCCAATCCCGGTGCCATTCTACCTCAAAATCAGCAAACACGGCCACACTCGTCTAACGCCCATCAAGCGCCTGGTACACGGCAGATTCTATCTCTTCCTGGCCACCAGCCTCACTCGATCAATCAGCACCAGTCACAGCATCCGCACCACCTTGGCCCAGGGCAGCAGCAGCTTACCGAACTTCATCAAACCTCACCTCATCCAGGTCCTGCCATTCAACCAAATCAAAAACAACAAGTTCACGTATGTAACGTCCTATTTCATTTTTAGTATCATCATCGACTGAACCCATTCTCCCCCTCCGTTCAGCCACAACTCCAACAGCAATCCCAGCAGACCCATGGATCTCATCAGACCGCCCCCATGTCGAGCTTCCCTACAGCTGTTACACCTCAGCAACACGCCCGGCAAATTTCCCAAGGTGCCGGTGGGCAAATGCCTTTTAGTAGTCCGATGACCCACCCCGCTTCAACATCAAACACTACCGAACACCACGCGCGCTTCCAAAATCCACAGGTGCAGCCAAACTTGCTCCGTGTGGAAAGTCCCCGACAGGGCGGTCCCGGACATACCCAACCCCCTCGTCCCCCATCAGCCGTCCAACCTACAGGTTATCCATCCGCTTCCCCCCATTTGACCCAAGGCAATTCTCCAAACAATGCAGCTCTCAATCAACCCCCTGCACTTTCCATGGGTAGTCTCTTGAATGGAGTTACACATGAAAAGCTCATCTCGGCGATCAGGGAGAATGTAACGCGCAAGGGGGCTGTCTGGAATGGACAGCCTGGTTTTCGTGGAAAAGAAATAGACTTGTGCAAGCTGTTCACCACATGCGTTACTTCTGGTGGTTTCGATCGCGTGAGTATATTCGATTTCTTTTTTATCGATCCCCTTCGGATCCTGCCTGTGCATTGCTTGGCTGACTCACATCACTATTATACTTTCCACTTTAGGCCACGGCTAATGGATCGTGGGGGGGCATCGCAATGAAAATGGATAACAGCATCAATCGATCTGACAACAATGAGGTGCAAGGTGCCGGCAATGAGCTCTGTGATATATATCGATCCTTTTGTCTTGATATAGAGTATGCCTTCGTGAACATGCTTAAGCGTAATCCGCCATACCATATTGGCCAAACTCTTTCACAACCTGCCAATCAGCAGGTTGCTCAAACTCCAACCGCCTCAAACCATTTGACTCCTCAACCGCAGTTCCCTCAAGCAGACCACCCCGGTGAGCAGCGATTACAACAAGGTCAAATTGATGGGCAGGCACATCATCACCCACATGCCAAGCCTTCAAACCAACTCGAGGTTATCGATAAGGAACCGCACGGCCCTGCTCATCCTCATGGTCAGCTACACCATCAACTTCCACCGCAACGGGCCAACATACATCCCAACCAGCCATCCACCATGCAGCGTGATTTTATGCAAGCGAATGTATTTGTTCCACCTGCCGCCAATCAGTCGGAAAATCGTCAATTGCCAGTCCCTCACACTCGCGTCGGGGGTGCACCGACTTTTACGCAAATCATGGCCATGTCTGATGAACAACTTCGCAAATTGCCAATTCCCGAAGACCAGATCAACAAAATTCGGCAGGCTCGTGCCCAGAGTCAACATAAATTTCCTTCGCAAAATACTGGATTGCCTTCGCATCTACCTACTCAAGTAACTCAACCTCGTCCTCCTCCTGCCACAGCTGTCCCCGGATGGGTTGGCCCCACTTCTGCTATGGAAGAAGGGATACAAATGTTCGGACCTGAGATGCCCGGCAACGTACCCGTCCACTCCGCCTTGACTGGTATTCCCATTACTAAAATAAATGAAGCAAGCGCGGCTATTGCTGCGATCCGGCCAGAGTGTGTGCCACAAGCTAAAACCTGTTGGTCTTGTTTATTCATTTATTCATCTATTTATTTTTTACTCCCGATTGTTGACCTTGCTAGACACTGATATTTCATCAATTCAGTGTGGTCGAGATATAAGCAGCCCATGACCCGAGAGTTAAGCCACGCCGAAAAGGAGCAATACAAAAGCAGCATGGATGAAATGTCTGTCATGGTACAAAATGTAACGTCGCGTCTACCGGAGTATCTTGCCACGGGGGGGAGAGTCGATCAAGCTCGAACCATTATTGCTTTCGTTAGCACAACTTTCTTCTTAGATGAGGTTCTCAGCCCTACTTGGCACAATTGTACTGATATTGGCTCTCTGCAAATCTTTTTGTTTTTTTATGAAATTCTGATAGATTCTGGTGTTCCATACGGCCTTGGCTTCGCTCCGAAACAACGACTTCTATATGGGACAATCGGATATACTTCATTTGCGTGGCAGCATTGAAGGATCGAGAACTCTCATAGCTAGTCACTTCAATAGCCTCACCTCACCCCCTCAGGTACGGCCTCCCTCGCAGCAACAACAATCACACCCTCTATCCCAACTACTTCCTCCATCGCAAGATCAGCAGCAATTGCAACAGCAACAGCAGCAACAGCAGCAATTGCAACAGCAGCAACAGCAGCAGCAATTACAGCAGCAGCAGCAGCAACAACAACAGCAGCAACAACAACAACAGCAGCAGCAGCAGCAGCAGCAGTCGCAACAACAATTGCCCATGCAGCAGCAGCCAATTCCACAATCGTATCAGCAATCACAATTCCCATCGCAGCCACAGGCACAATTTAATGATACATCCAATCCTGCTTTGGCCCAAGCTGTGCAGCCTCCCCAACCAATGGCGCAGCACCCCCACTTCATCGAACACGTCAAATCGCGTTTGAAGGTCGAAGATCTGAAACAACCCCCCTCTAAACGTATGCGACCCAGTACTTCGCTTGTGACCAGTCCTGATCGCTTACAAGGTGCTGGGGGTCCTTCGCCGCCAGCACAAGAGATACCACAGCAAGGTTTGGAAGCCTCTCCGGTGCAGCATCCAAATGAGTTAACATCGCCTGTTGGCAATAACCCTAAATCGCCTGGTTCGAAAGGGCCTGGGAAACGCAACCAGTCCGCGGTAGGTCCTAACAAACGCACGGCACGCAAACCATCCACCCAAACTGGTCGATCGACGAAACCCTCTCATCAAATCATGGCCGAAGTCAAAGCTGAACATGCTGCTGCCAAGGCAAAGCGAGAAGCTGAAAAGTTGGAGCAAACCCAGGGTGGCAAACCTAACACACCCTCGGTTCTACTTGAATCCAATGGAAACCAACCCGACGATGCGGCCAAGTCGGCTCTTCCTGAAAATGCTACCTCACAGTCTGATACCTCACCCATAGGCACCTCTGCACCTGCAACATCCTCGGTACCCGCCCCATTTAACCCTCAATCAGCAGTAGTACAAAGCGAGAAACCTCCGCAGGTTCAAGTGGAAGATCTTCTGAAAGAACTTAGCGACTCCATCTCTAGTGGCCCACAGGGAAGCACGAGCACAAACACATTGGACGAGGATGGTTGGCGTGGATTCATGGCCGACCTCAAGTTCCCAATTGCTGGTGAAGATGACGAGGGTAGTCGACCGCGAGATGATGAGCTATTGGGTTCGTGGCTCTTTGATGACGCCCTTGCCAACTCCAAAGGCAGCCCTTGTTTCGGCGACGGTGGCTTTGACATGATGTACATGGGTCCGACCATGGCAAGATTCATTGAATCCAATTCAACACCCAATTCAAATGGAACAAAAGGTGATCAAAGTAGGACCGAGGGTGGAACAGTTGAGAAAGAGAAAATCGGCTCCCAAGAAGGAATAGGTCCTACTCGTTGGAAGACCGAATCCATGAGCGAGTTTTTGTTTGATACCAACCAATCGGTCTTTGGGACTCAGGAAGAAACATCTCCAACAGTTACGGGTGAGAGTCGGGTACAAAATAGCTCAAATGGACAAGGGTTTACAAACGGAGCGGCTACCGAGACACCCGAGTTTTCGCCGAGTAAGCTATCTAGCGATTCAACTCCCGAGTCTGTCTGTTCAACTGAAGGTCACTCTGGTAATCCTAAACGTCTGTTGAACTCCCACTCAACTCATACCAACCCCTCACAAGTAGCCAGTAAATCAATTGGATCAAATGACGGGCCCTGCTATTCTAACGTTGACGAAGAGGACGCACTGTTGATGTATATGATGGGATTCGATGATGAGAGTACAATTGGCATGCCTGCCAGCTCTGCTAATGGATCTCAGGCTGATAACGAAAAGAAGCACAATGGGATCAGTCGGTTCAGGATCAGAGAGGGTGGCAGTGGTGGGTTCACTGGAATGGACAGTCGGAGCGGTTTGAGTGACGAATTTTGGTCGAGGCCATTTGTGACTAGTACGAGTTCTCAAGAAACCAAAGATTCTCACAACACCACCAAAGTCGATGCAAAAGCCAACCAATTCTTGCCCTCACCAGCTGGCAGTGCAAACGAGGCTCGAGCGGTCAATCCGAAAGCCGCCTCAAGTTCAATAACTCAAAATGTGATGAATGGAGTCCAGACCAGAGAGAACCAGGAAGCAGTCACGGTGAAATGAATGGAGCTTTTAAAAAAACTAACCTGTTTGAAAATCCTCATATATACATATATTTATTTATTGATGTGTGGATGTTTATATATCCGTTCGGTTCATCGTTTTTTTTTCTTCTTCCTTTTCTTCGCTTTGTTGCATTGTTTTGACTGAACGTTGAAATGCTCACAATGTGTGAAAGGTATTTGATGTAAAAAACAGTCCCATGATATATACAAATCTTAAAAAACCTAAATAAAACCATATATTATTATATCAAGACACCTTATAGTTTATCAAAATTGTTCGCTATGTTTTGTTCTTATCTATATTTTGACAGGAATTTCTGCACTCTTCTTTGTATGATTCTTGTTATCAGTCTTATTTCTTCTGTTTTCTTCCTCATCATCATTCTCATCACATCTTTTTTTTGAGCTCAAATAAATCACATGTCATGTGCTTTTATTTCATTTCATTTTATTCTATTTATTCTTGTTGCTCTTTCTTTCAATTCCATATATGTCTTTCAACTGTTTCTATGGTTTGCTTTTTGGGGATTATCAACAAACTAAATTCTGTTTTATTTTTGTGTTGAGGCTTGTAGTAAACCATCAAAATTCCACCAAATCAATTTCAATTCCATTTTCTTTTTTTTTTTTTGACACCATTGCACCTACATAGAGCCATATTCATTTCCTCCTCCTCTGGTCAATTTGCTTGCATATCATACTACTGTTTACATAATGGTCATTCTCATAAGCAATCATGTACCTTTTCTTTTTCTTATTCTCTCTCTCTCTCTCTCTTCAAATCAAATCTATATTGAGTTCTAATTGATTGGTTTCTTTGGTTATTTCAAGTGTTTCAAAATGCACACCTATCAAGAGGTTTTTGTTTTTGCTTGTCAAACCATGGGATTGTGAGTTCAAAGGCTGGTTGTCCCCCAGGCCCCTGATTCAGCACTTTCCAAGAAATGGACACATGTTATCATCAGTTTAGCTGTGTCGGTGGGTTGAAGAAGACACCTTTCATCTTGGGGGTTTTTTTGGTCATTATTATTATTGTACAGTTACTGGAGAAGGAGGTGCAATTTAATTTTGGATCTAGTGGATTTGTTTTCTATCATTGTTAAAAAGAAGGAAGAGCACAGAGAGAAGCAGATGTTAAGTGAGGTCCAGGCCTTAGATAATGTGTTTTCTCTCCTTGATCAGATCATCCAGAACATGCCACATTGTGTGAGCACTGAATTCTTCAAAGAATGAAAGAGAAAAATGGCCTACATACAATCAAATGAGCAGAGCCTGAGAGTTACTCCTTACTGATAACAGTAACAGTGGGAATGATAATATGACAGACAGAGTTACTTGGCTTTGATGCCCTCAGAGAGTGTTCTCTCAGTATGGCCAGGAGGAATCCTCCTGGCTATTGGGGGCTGTTTTTGGTTTGCGGGCCCCCAAACCCCAGTGGGTTTTGGGGCATCAACTTCCAACCCCTAGATCTGGGGGTTTCATTTTTTTCACACAAAAATCTTGGGGATCTGACCTGCTCATGACAGGGTTGCAGGGGATTGACTCCCAATGTTTAGGGAAATCAGTGGAGATTTTGGGGGTTTGGGAGATGACTGTCCAACTTTTGCAAGTCAATTAACCAAAACCCTTGATTTACTGGTTGTAAAAATTTTATAGAATAGAGGGTATTTTATTGAAGGAGCAGTGGATAATCAGTAAATATAAAAGTGATTTGGTACTTTTGTCTGGAGATTTCAAACGATATTTTTTATCTAGCTGGGGCTTGTATGAGATCCCTGGTTAAGACATTTGATGGTTTAAACTATTTACATACAGGGATGATCAAGTGATTGGTAGATATATATTGATATGATGGGAATGTTGAAGTGAGCCAAGTTTGACATAGCAAGAAGAAACCAAATCAGCCAATGATCCAAGAATCTATTTTGAGGAACATGTACTTACGGCTCTTCAACAGCTCAAAATTATGATTGTTCAGAATGATTCCACAGTACAGACCAGGATGAGAGGTATCGAAATGATGTGTGAAAGCAGACACATCGGGCTGTGTATCAGCTACAAAAGCGACATTCAGCTTGTTTTTTTCAGCAAATGCTGCAGTCTCTAGCTGATAGCCAACACCAAGAGCTTGGCGTTGTTCGTGATTCATGTTGACATGAGCAAGCACTTTGCTCTCATACTCCATCCCATTGTTGGGCAGAAATCGGTTGAATTTCTCGGGGTTGTTTTGCATGTATTCAATTATTTCGCCCTTGATGAATCGATGTCCCTCTTGATTGCCAGGCCATTTGATTGCAGATAATGCTCTGAAGAAGCTCTCTTCACCCTTTTGTATGTAATCATGAGTGCGTATATAACCGGGCAAATACTCCACAGGAGTTGTGTAGACAGAGTCTGGGACTGATGTTGCTACTTTTATCCTACTCAAGTGTTGATGTGCCACTCGGTTGTGGTCTCCTATGGGCACATAGGGAGCATTCTCTGGAGTAATATGGCTGCCTGGTGGGAATATATGTCTGGGATGGACATATGGCTGACCATATCCATGAACTTGAGGAGGTGGAACCCAGGATGGTATCAAGTTTGATGTAAATATCATTATGATAGAGGTATTGAATAAGGTCAATTCATCATCATGCAAGCTGGAAAGACAAAATCAGAGACTTTTTTTCTCTGAGGAATATAGACTTACAACTTCTTAGAAGGTCATAATTTTGGCCATTCAAAATGATCCCGCGGTACTCATGACTTGATGGGTTGAAACGATATTGCCCAGCAAATGCAGATGGTTTTGTATCAGATACAAAAGCTAGATTGTACTTGTTACTTTCTGCAAAGGCAGCAAGGACCAGATCATCAGGAGGGTGAGTTTGATGGGCCAGAGCGTTGATATAATCAAACACTTTGGTGCTATAGTCTTTTCCATTGTCGGGAAGAAGGTGTTGAAATTTGTGGCGGTTATCTTTCATGTAATCGAATATTTCCGTCTGAACGTGCATATGACTCTCTTGATTCTGGTACTTGATTTCGGCAAGTGCTCTAAACAAACTGTTGTCACCTGGCTTGATATAGTTGTAGGTTTGTATGAAACCAGGGAGATACTCGACATGAGTCATGTGGGCTGAGTTTGGCAGTGGAGTAGTTATTGATTTGTCCCGTAAGTAGATATATGCTTTGTGGTTGTGCGATCCGATGTATGTCTCCGGCGCGTTTTCTCGACTAATATGACCCGGAGGGAAGACATATCGAGGAGGGACGGAATGTCCTGGATAGAGGTACGGCTGAGCATATCCGTGAGGAATTACTTCGTAGTGGTATGGCTCCTCATCTCCATGCCAAACTGGTTACAGAGATAAGGAATCATTCCAAGGTTCCATGGTAGTGGGGAACGTGGGGGGGGACAAAGTGAGACTGAATTCAATCTGACGTAGCAAAGTACTGTTGGAAACTTACGCCAACGGAAGAATCGTCGGGTCCAATTGAAACTAAACATATCTTTGAGCATCGACTTGAATTTACTGAACCAGCCGTGGCCCTTATCCTTCTTGAGTGCGATTTGTGGCTGTGCAACGGGATCGAAATGTTGTCCTGCAGTTGGGTTAGCTGGTGCGCCTTTCAGATCTCGGGTCGAATCGAGTGACCCCCCATGTTGAGTGTGAAAAGCCGTTTGTTCGCCAGGTCTACCCGTGTCTGCAAGGTTAGTGGCGTGGCCGGCGGCCCCGGTAAGGCGACTTCCGGCGGTAGACGCTTTCGATCCACCGGCTAACAGTTCCATTCCTTCTACCAGAACAATCTCAAGAATGGAGAATGTGAGACACAACAAGAGTATAGTTTTGATAGGCCCCAGGGGATTAGAGAAGTCGCTCCGAACATGATGATGACTGGTTTTTCGAACGGCCATTTGAATTTTATGATTTGTTGGTATGATTTTCGACCAGAGAAATGAATGTAAGAGATTTGACTGCAACCAAGGAAATGAATGTAAGAAAGTTGACTGTCAACCGGAAAAAAATGACGATGGTTGGGTTACTCTACATATAATGTGATTTCGTGGACGATTAAGCTCAAGGTTATATAAGTATGTCTGGAGAATGAAGAAAGCGCGACGGAAGGAGCTCGGGCAGACAATAAGGGATGTTTGGCCGGAATTGACCTAACGGATAGATGAAACTTCATTCGGGTGTCGGCTCTGCGTGGCGGCGGTGCCCAGTTCGACTCGGGTGTCTGAGCGGGGCAAGGCTCAGATTTCTTACTAACTATCGTAAAAATATACATTTCCGTCTGAATACACAGACAGTTTGGCGATTGTGAGAGGAGAGGTTGAGAACTTGACTGGCAACTTGTTGGAGAGAGTCGAGAGTTCCTGCTTGTCGATTCGATGGAGGCTTTTTTATATCGGACGAACCGCGAAGGTGGCGGGATTTAATTGTGTTCATTTATAAGCTGGGTCTACATATGGCAACTTGGGATGTATTGCATTGCCTCTGCTGCCCCGACTCTGCACAACTTGGCTCCTACCGATAGACAGACTGTCGTGTGCATTCGACGAGTCGATAGACCGGGCAAAACAGGCTCATCGTCACCAGTCTATATACACTGCCGTCCCCGATCCCCTCGACTCGGTGATGAAACAGAGACATCATCGAGCTATTGGCTGATGAACGCGCACACCATGAGGTGTGTCAATAAAATTTCTCTTATCACATCGATTCGGGTGGGTTTCCCGAAAGTCGATCAAGTGCTTCTTGGTAATACAGACACTCATTATTCCAGAATCGGTGATTAGGATTAGATCAGCGCAAAGGGAAACAATTGCGACAGAAACTCAGCCACATGACCAGTTATGTGACAAGCTCCCCCATGACAGCCACTTGGGCTTGCATTCCTTTCAATCTATTCAAGTTGACAACTGTGCCAATGAGACGCAAATATAAATAACGGTTTAAAAGGCCTAAGTCGGAGCTATATGTTATCAATGACTTCCACCGTTGATGGGGATAAGAAACAATTTGAGAAGATGCTTCGCGCGAAAAAAATAAAAAGATCAGCGCTTTGGGAAGGGAGACAGATGAGGTTGTAGTTATGTATTAGGATCCTTAGCGCTTCATCGTTCTTTGTTTTTCAGCATGTTGGACGATCTTTTTCTCAACAAACATTCCCTACAGAAGAAAGAGATTCCAAGGTTAGTGTAAGCAAGAGAAAAAAAACAAGCTTGCTTGATCAACGAAAAAAACAAACAAAAGAACAACAAGAAAACAAAAGGGGGGGGGGGAATGATTAACCTTGCGTTTCCTAACTTGATCCATATACTTTCTAGGCAAGTTTTCCTTATCAGCAAGCGCGCCGAAGTCTTCCAATTCCTCATCAGTTTTAGGGATCCAGAAGGGGTCGAGATCAACGAGGATTTCGAAGCCGTCGAAGATCAACTGCGGCAGGGCGATCCCGGAGGTTTTCTTCATGAGCTCGTCGTTGAAGCCGAAGGATTCGATGATCGGCAGACGGGCCCCAATCGTATAGAACGTCGTCCCATCCTTGATCTCCTCCGATTTGATCACCCCTTTCCTTCGCGCAATCACTCCGTACACTTTCCCCAACACTTCAGCTATAAAACAACAACAACATCATCATCATCATTAAGCAGAGAGTCAGGCGAGTCAATCATTCATCTTCTGGACAATCTGGATGCAAGGGTCGTGAGGGGACGCTCTTTCACTTACTCGTCGCTTGAATCTCACAGGTATACATCGCCAACATCAATCGAGGCGACCAATCCAGGAATGCATTTCTGAAAGCTTCTTGGACCGACGAAATCAATTCGCCCGTCAGTTGCGACCATCTCGCACGAACTGTCGGACCAAAGCGCCCATTCCAAAAGACAATCAACCACACAAATGTTTAGTAAAAAAAAAAATGGCCTAGCATTGAGATAGATAGCTAGAGATCACACTGACTCGTTTCGACCGATCCCGCAAGATCTTCTCCACCGATCTGTATATCCTCGATGGAGAAACACATCCCCGACATCGGCTCGGCACATAAAGGTCCTTTGAAGGTGGCTAGTTGGAAGGCGGTTTCGATCGAATCATCGAACTCTCTCATCGACATCAGCTGGTCGGTTCCACTCTGCGCATTCTGCTCTGTCTCCTGTTCTTTTACCAATGACTGGGAGTTGCATCTGTTAGGTTTCCTCAACCTGCACAAAAAAATGAACCAAACATCCGTTTTAGGGCGTTTCACAAATGTAGTTCTTCCTCTAAGTGACTCACGATCGGATTGATCCGGGAAGCTTATCTAACAGCAGATTTGGCCCACTCCTTTTGGGACCAAAAGCCCAAATAGAATCGACCAACGTGTCGAAATCGAGTTCGTTTGCAGACGAATTGGTCAAGCTTTTGCAGGCGTCTTCAAGTCCGGACCAAAAGACCGAATCGTAATTGTTATTCGAAGCTTGAGCAAGATTAGCGGTCTGATCATACTCCTGGACATCGTTCATGAGACCCATGGACTCCATGTTGCTTGAAGGCAACGATCCAACACCCGTCGAGTCCGACGAGCTGTTCGTCGGATCCAACTTGCGCTCTTGCCGCAGGGAAATCTTTCTCATCATCTCGGAATGCTTGGCTAGGTAGCTCGTGATGGGTTCAGGCAAGGGTATAGCGCGAACAGTGAAGGAAATCAGGCCACCCAATACGGTCCCACTGATCGTTCCTCGAGGCTGGTCTTTGGTCTTGGGTGGTGGCATGTCTTGATATGCGCATGGTGTACGATTGAAAAAATCCCATCAGAGATCAGTATTCTTATTCGTTATGATTTGAGGCGATGTCTAGAGCTTACCGACGCCACGAACAGCGGTCTCACGGAAGGGCACGATTGGTTTAGAAGCTTGAATGCGGATCTTTGCAAACCTTTCTCTCAAATCTCTCAAGCATCGCTGATCATCTCAGCAGAAGAAAAAGGCAGTCAGCGTTGGGTAATCTTGAAAATTACTCATTACAATGAAAAGACTTACCTCTAGATGGAGTTCACCCGCGGTCAAGATTACATGCTCGCCAGTATCTTGAATCAGGGTTTCGACACAAGGATCAGACTGATTCAAGAGTTTCAACCCCTCAACCAACTTGGGCATATCTGAAGGTTGTTTAGGTTCGAGTGAAACACGGACGATCGGCGCGGACTACAATCCCAAAGAAAACGATGGTCTATAAACAATAGAATGAAATGTAGACCAAGATTTCAGGGTGCTCACTGCGAGTTGGACTCCGGCCAAGTTGATTAGTTCGGGCAGCTTGTCGTCCACTTCGTCTTGGTTCGCCTTGGAGACCAGCGCTCCACACAGCGTCGCGTTTCTCAAAACTTTCCCTGCAAGACCACCGATACCAAACACATGACCAGCTCTAACTTCTGAGGTTTCGACTAATGACCTTCCCATGATGATGTAAAGGTTTTCGATGGTCACAGTCTTCAAATGAGCAGAGTTAACTTGCGTAGGATTTGTTGAATTGTACTTGGGTAGGACACATGTCAATTTCTGGTTGACTTTGACGGTACCCGAGTAAATTCGTGCAAATCCAATCAAAGCTTCTCCTTCTTCAGGTGAAGCTTCCTCAATCACATTGGCCGAATCTTCTGGCTGAGTCGATGGGTCATCAGGAGCAGGAGCAGGACTTGTTGATGGTAATTCAGAAGGAGGTTCGGGAACTGGCCCGGTCTCGCCGACGATTTCTGTGGAAGCTGTGATGTTCAGCGGGACTGCATCATGAGAAGCAGACGCGGCTTGAGCGCGAACCCGAGCAGCCCTCCCCTTCTCCCTCATTTCTTCGGCGGTGAGTTGTTTGCGTTGAAACTGGGGCAATTCGCTGATCGGGACTGCAAACATTTTACTGACATAGATGACAACATGACTAGAATCGTCTGATTTGCCTGCATAGAGGTCGCGTTCGATCTCGCTGTGAGGGATAGCTTGGGTCAAGTCCGGCAGATAGGGATATAGCATCTTCGGGAGTCGGGTGGATTGAGATGTGATCGGATCAGGAACTTTAGCAACGATCGTACGGAAGGTAGTGTTAGAGATCGGAAGCCATTGCGAGCAAATCGCCAGCAATAAGTTTTTGGAATCCTTGGACTTGAGATCTTGAAGTCTAATCTTGAGGCCTAAACTCTGAATAATTTTTTCAGTTTTAATAGAATCCCTACAACAATAAGGAAGATGTCAGTACCAAAGATTCTAGGATGAATAATGAACAAAACAAGAATGGATCAAACTAACGGGTTGAGAATAACAGAGTCGTAAACTGCCCATAGGTTATCGAGTACGAACTGAACAAACATTGGTTTGAGGGAGCCTTTTTGAGTTGCTTGCTTCTTATTCAAGACTTTTTTAGATTTCGGATCGAAGAAGAAATCGCCCCAGAGACATGATTCAAGTTTAGCTTGTTCGATGCCTAATTTTTTTGACCAGAGAGTAGCAAAGCTAGCGATATTGAAAGACCAATTGTCGATTGCAGATGAGAAGATCACGTCTCCCTTCGTCGGATCAAAGTAGATATCCTGATCGTCTGTTTCTGTGAATTGTTTGTTAGGAATCGAGCTGGATTGTTCTTGTTGTTGTTCGGATCTTTCGGCCGCCTCTCTCCATCGGAGATCTTGCTCCATCCGATCGGTAAAGAAGAAGGATCCCATGATTGCATTCACCTGTTCGACTAATCTAACTAGATGATAGTAGGCCTCAGTAGGTGATAACCGTAGCTCGACAATGAGACGATCAACTTTGTTAATTACGAGAATTGGTTTCAGTTGTTCATTCCAAACCTGACGAAGTACGGAAATAGTCTATATGAGGAGCAAGAGAAGACAAGGAATGATCATCAGTAGGATTCAGGACTATTTAATGGAGTTTTGATGAAGAGAAATTCTAAGAGGATGGCATACTTGGGTACAAACTCCTTCGACCACATCAACCAAGACCAAAGCGCCGTCACACAATCGGCTAGCAGTTGAGACCTCGGTGGTGAAATCGACATGTCCTGGAGTATCGATGAGATTGATCCTGAATTGCTCGAGTTCTTCAACCCCCGCAGGATTTAATCGGATGGTGGCATATGAGAGAGAGACGGCGCTGGATTTCATGGTGATCCCTCGTTCTTGTTCGTCCGGTCTTGAGTCCAAGTATCGCAGCTTGCCGGCCATCTTCGGGGTGATGATGTTGTTGGCCGCCAGGAGAGAGTCTGCATAACTCGATTTGCCATGGTCCACATGAGCTAACTGTATATAAAAAAATAATTAGTTCTTGTCACAGTAATTTTTCAGCTTGGAAGATGGTGAGGGATGAACTCACAATGCAGACGTTCCTGATCCGATGGTGTGGGATGGCTGAGGCTGAAGTTGAGGCCATCGTGAGTCGGTTCTCGAGAGGAAATTTGTTGAGTTGATGAGGTTCAGCGTGATTCACGGCTCGAATCAAATAAATGTGTGCTATTATGCATATGCAGCTCATCAATCAACTTCCCCTGGAAAGAAGAAGCCAACAGATGTTCTTTGCCTGTGGACTAAACCCACAGTCATTCATGTACCACTTCAGCAACCCAAATCAAACTGCTATAGACTGATTGGAAAAGGAAACAAGCCCGGATTTATTCCAAAGAGAGGGTAATCTCATAAGATAGTCTGTACATAGCTCATCAAAGCCCTGTTTGAATGGATCTGTCCCACCCATTCTTGATAAAAACCTATTCAAGCTCCCTTTGATTTGAAATCGTCGGATCATCATCATCATCATCATCATCGCATAGAAACATGTAATACATTCGATCATCAATTCATATATAGGTAGGGCGGCGAACCACAGGTAAAGAAATAATAATAATAATTAAGATGGAATGTGTAGGAGTTCGCAAGGAAACCGGCAGACTGGAAACCAGTCATATGTATTTTTCTTCCTTCGTTTTATTTTGGTGATCGAACACAAGCCAAAAACAGACAGAAAAACCAGAGGAATTCCTTCGATTCAAGATAAACTTTTGCCCATGAATTTCCTCCTAAAACCATATGTTTTTCCCATCCACAAAAACAAAAACAAATCCATAGAAAATTGAAAAAGAGGTGAATTGTGAGGTCAGCAAACAAGCAAGGAAGGTTGATTGAATGAGAAGGGCGGATAGTAAAAAGCATATGGAAGAGCGTGGGAGGGGGATTTAGGTGGTGATGCTAGGAGAAGCTTACTTCTGGAAACACATCCACCATTTACTCGGCTTTCCGTCGGGAGTATTGTAGACTTTTTCGATCAATCGAAGCGAGCATTCTTGTCTGATCTGAGTGAGATATTGTTTGAGCAAATCTATAGAACGAAAAACAATCAGTTGATCTATATCTTCTGGAAAAAGAGAGAGAGAGAGAGAGACCGACCGGCGTCGATTTTGTCCTTGGGGGGAGCATAGATGCCATTCATCGGGAATCCGGGTTCGCCGGGCAGGAAGAAGTTATCCAAGCTGTAGGAGAGGAGCTGTTTGCTGGCCTCGTTCTTGTTGTTCTGGTGGGGCTTGAGCAGGCTGATCCGGTGGAGACAGTCGGAGATGAAGAGGATCAGATAGATGAGCACCCGATCGGCAAAGCCCTTGATCTCGAAGTTGCGGAACAGGCTGTTGGATTTGAAGAGGTCGAGCGCTTCGTCTACGATGTCCATGTCGCTCGGGTTGGCTGAGGGTCCAAGAGTCATCAATCCTTCCTTGTCTTCTTTTCCCCGAGAGGATGGTTGTTGTGATGACTACTAACCTAGAGGTGGTGCTGGTCCGCGGATCTTGGATCGGATGGGTAAGATGACCATGTTTGCGACCGGGCGATAGTCGGTTGCATGGTTGTATGCCGAATGGTAAGCCTGTGATCGTTCGTTGTGAGTTCAGAGTGATATAGGCTTTTTGGTGGGTGAGAGGATCAAGACTCACTGGCATGCTGAGTGGAGGTGGAGGTGGAGGTTGTTGTGCTTGTTGTTGGTTGAGGAGTTCGGATGATGATGAGGCGGTGGAGCGAGTGATGAACAACCATCCTTCAACATCCCCCATCACCCAAACTATTCAACACACCCCCAAAACACGGCAGTGGCACTCAAACGAAATCAAACCTACCACACTCTGCGATTCACCATACACAAATCCCAGATTCAACCGCTACTCCTCAAATCGCAATCCATCAAGAGCTCCAAGAACTCAAACCTTGTGCGGAATTATAAAAGACTCAAACAATCATCCAGTTGTATGTATATCAGTGAGAATTTTTTAGCCACCACAAAAAGCGCACTGTGTACTACATAAGAAACCGCCAAAAAAAAGCCCAGGCTGGCTATGTGATGTGATCATCGGGAAGTGTCTGTTGAAAGCAAGACCATCCTAATCTGGTGATTTTTTCCTCGGCGGATGTGTATCCCACTGGTCAATAGGAATTCTCCAGGAATGAGTAGCGTTCTTTAACTAGGGGAAGACTTGAGTTAGTTGGTTGTAGGATATAGGAAATAGATGAGGGAAGAAGGGGAAGGCCCATTGGGGCAGATATAAGGAGGTCGAAGAAGATCAATTGAGTTTCCAACCAAGAAAACCTTAAAACAAACAAAATCAAAAATGCTTCGGATTCATCCAGCTCGAATCAGGACCAACTACCACCACCAACTGACTCTGAGCAGGACGAGCAGAATCCAGAACAACAACCACTCAACAACAACAACAACAGCACCATCATCATCGTCAGCATACGAAGCACGACTGACACAGACCTACGAGATCCCCAGGATCGGCAAGATCAAAGTCTCTCTCCAATCCGAGTCGGTCCTAGGCATCGCCCAATCACGCGGCGAACGGCCCTACCAGGAGGACTTCTTCGCCCTCGCAAGCTTGAACCTCGACGCCCTCGAACTCGACAAGACCCTCAGGAGGGCCCAAGATTACCAACGCTTGATCGCTAATAATCAGGCCAAGTATCGCAAGAGGACACCCAACAACACTGATCAGCCCTCTTCCTCCCACATCGCTCAAAACAAGGATCACAAGCAGAGTCTCCTTCAGACTCTCTTCGTAGGCGTCATCGACGGCCATGGCGGCTCCGATTCCGCAGAATTTCTGTCCAAGAATCTCGCCCGGATCATCGAGCAATCCAAGCTGATTGACATCCCCAAAGTCATCCGAAAGTACCGCTCGATCGGGGGCTATTTCCGGCGGTTCAGAGGCGGCTTCCTCGAAGAGATTGCCCAAGAAGTCTACAACAACAACAACACCGATCCGTCGAGGAAAGGGGAGGGTGATGATAAAGACCAGCCGAGGATGGGCGTCGACGAGCGATTGTCGCTCAGCTTCTTATTAGCAGACCAACAGCTGATCAGCCGTTGTCCCAAGTCGGGCGCCGTGACGACGATGGCCCTGATCACGCCGCTGCCGATCGAGGATGCCGAGCAGAGCCGGAGGATCGATCCGCACTTCAGCTCGCCCCTGCTCTCGCTAGTGCTCGCCCATCTGGGAGACACCTCGGCCCTGCTCTGCTCGGCCACCAACGGCAAGGTCCTCCCGCTCACCGAATACCATCATCCGGACTCGCGCGTCGAGTCGGACAGACTCCGCAGGATCGGCACCGGCCTCATCACCGACTCCTTCGGCGAATCCCGTTGGGGCGGCTCCCTCGCTAATTCCCGCGGCTTGGGCGACGCTGGCTTTAAGGCTCTAGGCGTCACCGGCGAACCTGATATCATCAATAAAATCATCAACGGTCCGTCCATCTTTCCCTTTAAAAACACTCTCTCTATATCACGTATTGATCTCCTCCGACTTTGTAGGTCGGGATTGGGAGTTCTTGGTCTTGGTCTCCGATGGGATCTCGAACGTGATCTCGAATCAAGAGATCATCGATCTATGTAAACGGACCAAGTCGCCAACCGAAGCGGCCAAGAGAGTCGTCGGATTTGCCGAAAGCTTGGGCGGGTCAATCTCCTTTCCCTTCCTTACCTCTCTTGTTCATCTCAAAATCAACAACAACAAAAATCGATCTGATCACTTTTTTTTTTTCCGTTTTGTGATGGTGGGTACATAGGAGAGACAATATGACGGCAATCGTCGTGCCCTTGTTGGGGTGGGCGAATCCCCAAAGCGTCGACTTGACACTCGAGAGACGCGAGTTCAGGCTCAAACAATTCTCCTCTTCTGGCGGCTCGGGCCGCCAGAATAGGATGTAAAAACACACACACACACAATATCAATCGCTTGATCAGATCCTTCTTCTTTTGTTTTGATGTTTTCGACGTTGAGATCTTTTGTTGTATTAACATAAAACATCCCCTTCCACACTCCATAAATCATCCACTCTTTAATAATCAACACTCAATATGTTCGTGTTCCATAGACTAGTTATTCTTATTCTTCTTTGGTTTTTGTCCTTCGATCACTACCGCACATCCACATATTGATGCATCACTCACTTGCGTCCCATTTTCATATTCACATTCGATTGTACTTGTTTGATCTCTCATCCTTGGTCGTCAGTTTTTAATCTTCTCAAACACACGCTCAAGAAACTACTTGAATCACTCATCTATTCATTGCATGTTTTTTTTTTTTTTGGTTTGTTCGAAAACTACTCTTCATCATTGATTGTTTTGTATATTTCTATCCGTCCTCCTCTTGTTTCAAAACTCAAAGTACTTAATCCTGACCACTGAAAACCAAAGATTTACTGCTTGCCCGAAGAAAGCTGGGTTTTTTTCTTTTCTGGAATTGTAAGACCGGATGGGAACTACCAATGACAACAATCTTTCTAAAAGACGAAAAAAAATGAAACATCGATCATTATATCCACATAACTGTACAGACAATCAATCGATTGGCAGATGTAAGAACAGACGAAATCGACGGGTGACGTTCTCGAGACAAAAAGAGCAAATGACATGAGTGATGATTAGGGATATAGAAAAAGTAACACACAATTTTGAAAGAGCACAAAGAAAGGATCAGACACAAGTCGTATAACAAGTTCAGGATAGAGCGGCAGACAGGTCAACGATTAGACGATTTATTGGCACGACTTGACGATGACGGATTAGCTCTCTCGTCGGTATTATAGAGACTCGAAGTAGACCGCGAAACAGTTCGTTCGACAACCGACGTACCATCCCTATAAAAAAACAATGTGAAATGATCCCCAGATCAGCAATCCTGTCTTGAGGATCAAGATGGTTTTTACAAAGAAAGAAGAAGAAGAAGAAGAAGAAGGGTACCTGAATCGGGTCCGAAACAAGACGTTGGCATTGGTGAAGAGACCTTCTTTGAGCGACACGACGATGAACTGACTTCCCTTAAAGCTGCGACCAAAAAAAAAAAAAAAACGAGGAAGTGTTGCTGTTTCAGAACGAAGCTCTTCATCTCATATACAACTACAGCAGAAGGCCAAAGAAAAAAAAAACCGACCGATGCTTGAAGAGTAGGCCTAAGTTTTGGGTGTGTTGTAGATCCAGCGCGGCATCAACCTCTGTAGTACAAGTATAAAAGAAGCGGACACATCAGTCGGAGGTCGAGAGGTGAACATCTTCCATGAGATGAATCGACGTGCCATCAAGGACATAGATCGGCGACGGATGAGTCTTCAAAAGACTCATGATCAAGGAGAGAGCGATTAAGGATCTGGATGGAGGAGGAGAGACAGTGGGACAGTGAGACTTTTAAGAATTGGCCGACAAGATGTGCATCAATCGTTACCTTTGTCCACCACTGAGCTCTGTCAGACTCGATTTCCATGTCGACCCCAGTCGCACTCTTACCTCCAAGCCTTGCGAAAGCGTCATCCCCTCGGCGGGCTGTAATTCACACCAGTTTCCTGGTAAGAGAGTGTCAAAAATGTGCCCAAATTCTCTGCAGATGGAAAAAAAAACCCCGTAAGAATGCTAATCAAGGTTGGTTGATTGAGTTTTTTTTTTTCGAAATAAAAAGAGCAACAAAGGCCGTTCAACTGACCCATTCACCGTAACCCATGCCTTTGTCAAGGCTTCAAGTTTGTATTCATCTAATCTGGCAATGGTTTCCTCGATCTTCCCTTTATCTTTGATGACTGTTGAATGTTTTGCAGTAAGCTCTTTCTCTCGTTTCTCGACACTAAACCAAAACAAAACCCCAGAGAGGTGAGACACACATCAGCAATCTTTTCGCGTCATTCCTTTGTGAGGAAAATTGAGAGAAAGGTGAGACATGCCTATCAATCATATGAAGCACTTTCGGGTTGACTTTTTTCCGCATCTTGTGTTGGTCGGCTTCAAGTCTTTCCAGCTCCGACTTTTTATCCTTCATCCGATGGGCAGAAAAGTCGAATTCACCTCCGGCTTGACCGAACAACCTAAGCGGATGAAAAGAAAATGCATCGAGTCAGCGCAAGCTAGAAAAACAGACAAAAAGAGGGAGAGAGAGAGAGAGAGTAGACTTTTTGGCTCCGGCAACCCATTCATATGTGTTCTCGATTCGCTCGATAGCATCTTGTGCACCCTTGCGTTCACGCGAGAAGGAGTCAATCTTATGACGCAGAGTCGAAATGGTCGAATCGACTTGGCCGATCGCTTCCAATTTGGCCTGTTTAGCCTTCTCCATATCGGCCAATTCTCGTCGGAATCCATCCAATCGTTTTGTTTCTTGTCTGTATTCCAAGTCCGCCTGCGCATGCTCTTCCTGCATCGGTCGAGTGGAGACAGCGATGAGTGCGTACAATCATCAGAAAACACACACGGAACGCGACTCACTTTGGCTTGTTTCAGCTTGGCTTTCAAGCCTTCATGCTCTGACTTGGCAGCCCCAACTGCCTCTGCCGCCTCCTCCACTTCTTTCTTTGCCGCCGAGACATCACTGACCAGTTGTTCTATTTGCCCTCAAGAACGTTAGGTAGCGGTTTACTTCTCACAGCCCAAAGAAGAAAAAACAAACCGATTTCCATGTCGACCCCTTGAACCTCTCTCTGCATAGCCTTCACCGTGCTTGAAGTATTGCTCATGTTTGCCTTCTTTTGACTAATGTCGGCCTGTGCTAAAGTCTTTATCAGGATGATGAACGGCTTTGGAGATATATGAAAGATATTCCATGCGTTACCTTGATTTGTTTTAACTTGGAATCTTTATTGTTTTTGAAATCGTCCATCTCTTTTTGTAGGCGTTTACATTCGGCTTCAGCAGCATTTTGTTTTTGCTTGCAATTCGCAATCAAGGTGTTCAATTCTGTTAGTGTATTCTTAATCGTGGCTACTTCAGAAATAATCTATGGACGAAAATAAAAACATTACTATAAGCCAGCGCAAACCCCCCCCCCCCCAAAAAAAAAAAAAAACGCAATGATTGCAATTTAACTTACCCGAGTTGTGTTACTTTCTTTCACTCTTTCTTCCAACAGGCTGACTTCATGTGACTTAAGGTCCAAATCTTTTTTCGCCTGGTTAAATTTGGCAATCTTCGACTTAGCCGCCTGCCATTCCTCCTCAATCTGTTGCAAGTTGGCTTGGTGCTGCCGCAAGAGACTTTCAACCTTTTTCAACTCTTGGACTTTGATCAAAATTCCAGAGGTAGAAGGTTTGGAGCCACCGGATAAAGTCCCAGAAGGATCGTAAATATCGCCATCGAAAGTGACACTCTTCATCCTTACATTTTGATCAAAAGTCACTTGCTTTGCAGTCTGAGCATCCGGACAGATCAAAGTGTTACCAAATACAAACTCCATGGCTTTGGAAACATCGGCATCGTACCCGATTAATTGAAGCGCTAGTTTGGCCGAATTGTTGGAGATCTTGGATGCCGAGTTCAGTTGTCCAGCGGAAGCAACGAAGGCGCGTATCTGGTTTAGTGGGATCATCGTTACTTTACGTGTCAGCCGACCGTTATCTAGTAGTTGCGATGCGGTATGATTATCTTCCACCACGACGTTATACAGCCTACCACCTGCACAGACTTCTAGAGCTGTAACTTGATTCAGGCTGGAGGGGTCGATCGTGATCAGCTGGGCGACGAGTCCTTTGACTTTCGAGTGATCGAAATTTCTCACGGGGTCTGCGTATGTGAAATCTAATTGGCTTAGCCGACTTTTGATATGATTAACATCGGCGGTAAGTTTTGATACAATCTCAGATTCTTCGTCCCGGCGTTGTCTGAGAGTAACTTCGGCATTCTCATCCCAATCGATTTTTTCAAGCGTCTGCTCCAACTGCTTCTTTTCCGACTGGGCCTTTTGCAGCTCAAACGCGGCACCGCCACCTTCCTTCTCGAGTTTTTTAGCCTTCGGTTCTTTCTCCTTGAGTTCTTTGGTCAAGTGACCGATCTTAACACGAGCTTGCTCAGCTTCAGATGCGAGATCAGCTACTTGTTGTTTTGCGTTCGCCAGTTGTCCCATATATCCGCCTGCATTAGCTCCCTCAGAGTCATCGTTCGTCAAGCCAGTCACTAGAGTTTGTAACAACTCTTCAGCCTTCTTTAGGTCAAGCGTCGAGTTATCAAACTCCGTCTTGAGTTGAGTAAATTTACTGTTCAAATCGGTAGCCTGTGCTTTTTTCGTCTCTAGAACGGCCGACAGATCTTTTTCAGCCTTGATCAACTCCTTCACCTTGGTTTGCTCCTCCGTCCAGGTCTTCTGGCTAAGCTCGACTTGGGTATTGAGCCGAGCAACATCGGTCGAAAGTGCAGTGAGGGTTTTTTCAAGTTTTTCAACCTTGCCGCCTTTCTTGGATTCTTGTTCCATCTTTCGATTAATCCGAACAGACTCTTCGTCAATCGTCCGGATTTCTTTGTTCAATCGATCTTGGTCTGCTTCAACCTGATGGATTTCTTCGTTCTTCCCGTCAATCTGAGCCATAATGTCTTGTAGCTTTCGGTTGGCTTGAAAGTGATCCCAGGCCAAACACAGTCTCGTTAGGATTTCAAGTTGGGCTTCGTTTTGTTGATAGGCAAGGTAAGTTCGTTTTTCCTCCCTTAGTCGGTTTAGCTTGGGTTCAATTTCCTCGCGTAACAGCTGTTTTAGAAAAAGGAAAAAATCAGATTGTGCGTAGCTTGACAGAACAAGAAAGCAGCCAGACTCAACGTCCTGAATTTCCTCCATCTTTTTATCTTTTTTCGCCATGGTCTTGACTGCTTTCTCTTTCCGTTCTTCAAACATACTAGTCCCGGCCGCTTCTTCGATCATTCCCAAGATTTCCTGGGGCTTCATATTCAGCACTTTCGTGATTTTGCCTAATTACAAGTGTTGTAACCGTTAGACTGATGATTTTCTGGATAAGAAAAAACATCTCTGAAATGAAAACCTGCCTTGCATGATTAAAAAGTTAGGGTTGTTGATGTTGAGTTGGACTGATTGAAAGAGATTTTGTACCGAGTTCTGGGTTGATCGATGTCCATTGATGAGATACTTTGTCGCTCCACCCATCAATATCTGCGAGACAGAGGAAAACAAGTACAATTGGTTGAATTGAAGGAATTGCGCGTTGAAGTATCTTGATCAAGTTACCTGTCGCGTGACCGTTACTTCAGCATACTGCTCAAATCCGAGTGGCGACTTGGTTTTATCTCGATTATCAAATACCACCGTCACACTGGCCTTGGTTACGCCAGCCTGACCACGTTTGTAAATCAAGTCCTGGAGGTTGTTGGCTCTGACGGCGGACAAATTGGTGATCCCTAGCACAAAACAAATCGCGTCCAAGATGTTCGATTTTCCGGACCCGTTTAAACCGGTGACCGCATTGAAGGAGGGATCGAATCCACTGATCGTAGTTCTAAATGACCGAAAAGGAGGCCCATCAGATTGAATTCAAGTCGAACCAGCTGCTCCAGAATCTTGTTACTAACCGTACCGGATAGGACCTTCCGATCACAGGTAAAAAAAAATGATGAGCTGATAGGTCTGTATCTAGAAGAAATCATAGGAAATTTGGACCAGACATACTTGAAACCGTCCAGGATGAGTTCCACGATATGCATCTTGCTGTGATGTCTGCTAAGAAAACCGAGGCGCCTGGCGAGGGTAGTCCCGATACAAAACGATCGAAGGGGTTTAAATTGTCACAGGTTGGAGTACTATGTAACTCGGTTTTCGAAAACTGTCGGCGTCCTCGTTCATGCGCGATTGAGATGTGTGTGTATGCGGAATGCCGTTGCTGAGTTCAATCCCGATCCATAATTTTCTACCGGGAACTTAATGTCTGGACGCGCTCCTGCCGGATTATGCCCGCTTGATTTCAGCCTGCGGATTTATCGGATCAAGTGGCCATCGTACACCGATGTCACCTCGCCAGTGGAATTCATGTCGAAAGGACATCTTTCAATGAATGAGCAACACGATGTGGAATGACATCCAGCCATGCCCTACATCGTTATCACATCACAGCCCTTGTTGGCTATGATGTTGTTGATAATGAGAATCGGACATCAAAGCCAACTCTCTCATCCCTCTAAATGAGGATGAGAAAGCAGACTGCTCAGCTTGCAGTGTAGGCTGTTGCTGGCAGCAAAAGAAATCCGGCATGGGGATTACCCATTTCTATCTATTTGAGGCCCTCCATCTTTGGTCTCAACCTCCTCAACATTCCACTAACATTCAACAAACCTCTTAAAGGGAATCAATTTACCTAGCAAATGGTTAGAATTCCTTATTTTACTCCACACATTAACCAATTCAAATTTATTACCAAAATTTCCAACATGAACCCTAATGATTATTGTGGGCCTGAAGGTTCAAATCTGTCCCACCACCAAAAACAACATCCATCTGTTTCATAAATTTAAAAAAAATAAAGACCAAGCATTCCCTACAATAGATGAGCCATACGATATGTCTTATGCTTAAGTGAAAACCAGAAAAAACAAACATTTTCAATCTCAATAGATCTATTTTCAAAATCTCATCATGTGATTATCACTGATGAGAAATCAGAAAACCTACTCTGTCTGATTGAATTTCATCCATTGAATTCAGATAACCATCCAACCAATGAAACCACTCTCAGATTGAGTAGATTAATGATTAAGGATCTTTATCATTCAAGTATCAATAGAAGACACCAACCAAATAAATTTTGGACACATGGCAGAATGGCAGGCATTGGTTTCCAAGGAGGATATGACTTTAGCAAATCTGCAGGTAAGTCTTTGCCAATGTCCCAATTGTCCACTGGCAATTTTCTGAATGTAGAACTTATTTTTCAGGAACATATGCCTGAAATTAAAATATAAGTGGAAGATAGAAACAAAATGATACCATATTATCCACAAACCTTTCCTATCATAACCAAACATTATTTGAAAGGGTTATGACCTTTTCCATCTCAGCTTATGAAGAGAATGAAGAGATTAAGAAAATAATAGATAAATTTGAACTTCCAAGCTGGTCAGTTGACGATTGGAATGCTATCAATAGTACAGGATCTCTATTCACCAATTTGATGGTAACAACTGAGGGCTTTTATAATGGGGTAAGTGAATTTTACAAACTATTTTTTACAAGACATATGTCTTGTAAACCGGATAGCTTGTAAAATTACATTTCCATGGGGGTAATGTATAATTTTACAAACCATCTGTGATTTTCGAAGGTTGTAAAAAATTGGTTTGTAAAATATGTTTGTTAAAATTGTATCACAACATTGCATTATGTAATTTTACAAACTATATCATGCAAGTCTTGCATGACTAGGTTGTAAAGTTGTATATCAAAGCTTAAATTTAGAATTTTACAACACATACGCTTGCAAACCTTAATGTCTTGTGAAACTACGTATGTAAAAAAGCTTATTGGTACCCTGTAATAGAATTTTACAACACATAGTTTACAATCTATCATTAAACTTTCAATACATATCCATTATGTAATAGAATTTTACAACACATAATTCACAAACTATCCTTGAAATTTCAATATATAAGCTTTAAGCTTCATACAAACATTTGGCAAGCATGGCATATCATGGGTGATATGCCAGGCCTTGTCCCCACCTCCCACCCTTTGTCAAACATACATTGCCGACAACTCAACATGATGAAGTACACAATCCCATCAAGGACCGGTTTTAACCAGTCCTTGATGGGAGTAAAGACCCCCAAACACTCCCATCGATGACCGGTTTTGACCGGTCATCAATGGAAACCCCCAAACACCCCCATTGATGACCGGTCAAAACCGGTCATCGATGGGAGGACATACCTCCATCGATGACCGGTCAAACCGGTCATTGATGGAGGTAAACAGTGAAACACCCCCATCAATGACCGTTGATTGGTCATCAATGCAATCACCCCATCAGTCATTGATGGGGGGTGTTTGTATGAATCACAATAAACACCCCCATCGGTCATCGATGGGGGTGTTTACCTCCATCACAATAAACACCCCCATCGGTCATTGATGGGGGTGTTTACCTCCATCAATGACCGGTTTGACCGGTCATTGATGGAGGTATGTCCTCCCATCAATGACTGGTTTGACCGGTCATTGATGGAGGTATGTCCTCCCATCAATGACTGGTTTGACCGGTCATTGATGGAGGTATGTCCTCCCATCAATGACCGGTCAAACCGGTCATCAATGGTTTTTTTTTTTTTGGAGGGTTGCAAAACATGGTTTGTAAAATTCAATTTTACATACCATGTTGTGCAATTTTGCAAAACATAATTTACAACTCATATATGGGTTGTAAACTAATGGTTGCAAAATTCCATGACATCAGGCCAAAATGTACTTTTGCAAATCATATTGTTTGCAAGACATAAGGGTTGCAGCATATGTGCCTTAAAATTCAACTCCATGGGGCATGGGTTGCAATTTTAAGGCACATATGTCGCAACCCTTTTTTTTTGCAACCCATATTTTTGGGTGATGGTTTGTAAAATTATACATTACCCCCATAAAAATGTAATTTTACAAACCATCTGATTTACAAGACATATGTCTTGTAAAATATAGTTTGTAAAATTACAGCGACCCTTTTATAATAACCCCCATCTGGATCCTGATTACAAACCACTGGCATATGGAATATTCATTTATATTAGTAAAGGAAATGGGTTCCCTGTCCTGCCACCATCTCATTTTAATGGACATGCCTTCTGCTTCCCAAAATATGGTTGCAATATTGATTTTGGGACAACTCCAGGTATATCAGAGGTTATGTGGCCAAGTAATCAACTTGAACATCACACAGCACCCCCGCCAGAAGAATTGATGAGTAAAGAAAATTTCACCCACTTGAGGTGCTCATTCTAGATCAGCCAAAGTCTCATTAAACGGGCTCAAAGGATGAAAAATATGAATCCAGATGATAGGGAAGGCTGTTTACTAATATAGCTGAATATTCCATATGTCAGTGGGTTGTAATCAGTATCCACATGGGGGGCATTATAAAAGTCCTCAGTTGTTACTATCAAATTGGTGAATAGAGCTCCTTTACTATTGATGGCATTCCAATCACCAACTGACCAGCTTGGAAGTCCAAATTTATCTATTATTTTCTTATTCTCTTCATAAGCTGAGATGGAAAAGGTCCTCTTTCACATAATGTTTGATTGTGATAGGAAAGGTTTGTGGATAGTATGGTATCATTTTCTTTCTCTCTTTGGCTTATATTTGAATTCCAGGCAGATGTTCCTGCAAAATAAATTCTACATTCAGAAAATAGCCAATGGAGAGTTGAAACATTGGCAAAGACTGACCCGCAGATTTTTTACAGTCATATCCTCCTTGGAAACCAATGCCTGCCATTCTGCCATGTCCCCAAAATTTATTTGGTTGTTGTCTTCTATTGATACTCAGATGATAAAGATCCTTGATCATTAATCTACTTAATCTGAGAGTGGTTTCATTGGATGGATGGTTATCTGAATTCAATGGATATAATTTAATCAGTCAGATTAGGTTTTCTGATTTCTCATCAGTGACAATCACATGATGAGATTTTCAAAATAGATCTATTAAGATTGAAAATGTTTGTTTTGTCTGGTTTTCACTTAAGCATAAGATGTATGGCTCATCTGATGTAGGGAATGCTTGATCTATACTAAATTTATTAAACAGACAGATGTTCTTTTTGGTGGTGGGACAGATTTGAACCTTCAGGCTCACAATATTGATTAGGGTTCATGTTGGGAATTTTGGTAATAAATTTAGATTGGTTAATGTGTGTAGTAAAATGAGGAATTCTAACTATTTGGTAGATAAATTGATTCCCTTTCAGAAGTTTGTTGAATGCTAGTGGAATTTTGAGGAGGTTGATACCAGAGATGGGGGGCCTTAAATAGATAGAAATGGGTAATTCTGGGTGGGGAAGTTCATCAAGTGATACATGATGCAGCAAGGTACACATCATATTGTAGGAGTTTTCATGTAAAATGTTTAGAAGATTGTATCAATAAAACCTTCTTTACTGTATGATTGAAACACTGTGAGGGATCTTGTACTCAAAATCTTCATGTAATGACATAATGTCAATAAACTTCAGTGGATCTGAATGGATTGTGCAGTGAGAAACCACTGTAGTCTGTATCTTTCCCACAAATCAAGTGCATTTTTCCATTGTTTCACACATCACTGTAGTTCTTTGGATTTTCAAGAGTGTGTGATTGAAGTGCTTATCTCATGGGTGGTTTCCTGACTCAATACTCTCCATACTGCCTAGAATTGTAAATTTCAAATGCTTCTGCATAGGGAAAATAGAGATTACTACCAAGTGAAGAGGTTTAAGGCCCACATACTTCTACATGGGGAAAAGCAGTCATACCACCATCAAGTGTAAACTTTGAGGATTTCTCCTGTCATACAGATAGAAAATTTAGTTTGTCACAAGTGAAAACTTAGATATTGCCCTCATGTCACATTGAAAAACATGCACTGATGTATAAAGTCAATTTCAAGATGATGCTCTACTAGGAAACAGTTGTCACACTGCCCCCAAGTGTGTGTTTCAAGGATTTCTCCTGCCATACAGACTCAATGGAAAAACATGGCCCATATGTTTGAGTTAAATACCAATTTCAGGGGTTGGTGGTCACAAACAACAGCTTAGGAATTTCCCCTAAGTAACAGTGAAAAAATACCATTTTGTAAAGAAATCTGAGTTTGAGATCACAGTCTACTGGGAAACTGTTGGTGAGTTTTTCACTGATGTTTGAGAGAAATATACATGCCACTGTCAGATATTTTGTCCCCTGATGAGACATTTTTCCTTTCTTGCATGTCTGCTGGAAAAATAAATCTTGCTATCAAGAAGTGTGAGGTTCAGATACTTCTATGCAGCAAAATAGAAATGACATCAGGTACCTGTTGGTGTGTATCTGCCAGTGTATGACCGGTGCCCGCCGGCAGGTGCCAGGTACAGGTGTGGGTGTCTAAACTCAGTGGAATTCTCAGGCAGGTAACCTCACGGTTACCCAGGTGCAAACTACAGCAAACTGCAGTCACACTGTAATCAAGTTTGAAAAAAAAAATCCCTGATGTAAATCAGGTTAAGTTTGAGATGATACTCTACTGAGAAACAGCTGTCACACTGCCCCCAAGTGTATGTTTCAAGTATTTTCCCTTTCATACAGCCTCCATTGCAAAACATGTCCCTGATTTTTGAGGTAAATACAAATTTTGGGGTTGGTGGTCACATATGAAAGCTTGGGGATTGCCCCTAAATCACATGACCCAGTGGAATAAAAATACAATTATGTAAATAAAATCAGTTTGAGATGATGGTGTACTGGGAAAATGTTTTTAAAGGTTTCACTTATTTTTGAGTAAAATATACATGTCAGTGACAGGGGTGTTTGGCCCTTGATTAAAAACAGTCATTTTCCCTATATCACCCAGAAAAATAAATTTTTCTACCAAGAGGTTTGAGGATCAGATACCTCTATGTATTAACAATGCAGTCACACTGCCCAAACCCTAATTTTCAAGGATTTCTCCTGTCATACAGCCTTAATGGCAAAAATATTCCCTTATTTTCAGATTAAATACACATGTCAGGGAGGTTGGTCACAAACAACAGCTTGGGCATTGCGACTATGCCACGTTAAAAAACATACCATGCTTTAAAGAAAGTCAAGTTTTAGATAATGGTCTACTGGGAAACAGCTGTCACAATGTCACCATGTGGAATTTCAAAAGATGCCACTGAGTTTTGAGTGAAATACACATTTTGGGGTGGCTGGTCACCAATGGCAGCTTGGGAATTGCTGCTATTTCATGGTTGAAAACATTCCATGCTTCAAAAATGCCAAGTTTGAGAGGATGATAAACTATGAAACAGGTGTCACATTTCTACAAAGTGTAACATTTACCAGTGTCTCCACATCTTGCATCCTCCAAGGTGAAAAGTGCAGGTTGTGTATCAGTGAAGTGCACAAGTCAATGCAGCAATTTGCTGCTAGCTGCTAGTAAGGGTAAGTTCCAGATGATTCCTTTTAGAGAAAAGGCTGTCTAACTACCATCAAGTACAACTTTAAGGATTCCAAGTGTCTCCACATAAACGATTCACAATATTTCAATTTGTGAATGGCTTGTACACAATATCAAATTTGTGAGAAGTGCCTCAATTTCTGACTTTCTTCAAGATGAAATCCTCAAACTGAATGCGTTCAGCAAGCACTTAATTCTTGATTAGCTCCTCATGAGAAAGATGAATTGAATATGTTTTTTGCTGCTGTCTTATAACATTAAAGCTCACAATCATTACAATGGAAGTACATCTCCACCTGATTATAAGAACTTGTATTATTCTCATTTACTTCTCATCCTAATAGGCCTTCACTCAAGCTATATTTTCCAACAAGCTTGTTCTCTTTCCTTCTCCATTTTCAACAAAATCTCATCTGTTGTGATTGTCTCAGTGAATTTGTCAGATGCCTATCTGATTCCAGCCCACAGGCATCCAGGGTGTGACTGTTGCACTTTCCCAGTGAGCTCAGGCAGGCCAAAGTCAATGAACTGAGCCCGTTCACTTTCTGTGCAAAGCTTTAACAGACCAATCAGCTTGGACAGGTCTACGGCTCTCAGACATTGTTTACTACTTGTACCAATGTTGGCTTGAGATATTAGAATCATTGTTGCTACTTGGAGGGATATTCCTCATGCCCTTTGAGGGCTGTTTGCGGTTCACCAACTCCCCAAACCCACACTACAAACAATACCAGTTTTGCCCCAGGAAAAAATGGTGATTTGGGTGGTGGAAAATATATCAATTTCCCTGAGGATTTTTTACAAAATGACTCAGGAGTGAAAATGAGGCTAAAATGAGCTATTTTAGCCAAAAAATAAAAATGCCTCAAATGAACTAAAAATCAATTTTGGAATGTTTGAGGCATTTTTATTTTTGGGCTAAAATAGCTCATTTTAGCCTAATTTTTACTCCTGAGCCATTTTGTAAAAAATACTCAGGGAAATTGATATATTTTCCACCACCCAAATTGCCATTTTTTACTGGGGCGAAACTGGTATTGTTTGTAGTGCCAGTGGGTTTTGGGTAATTGACTCCCAAGTTCCAACCCCTTTAAGGGATTTTTTATAAAAAATTTGGTGATCCAAATCCCAAACCCACTGACAATTTTGGGGGATTGACTTCCATTATTTGGGGAAAGCGGGGGAATTGGGGTTTGGGAGTTGGCTCTCCAATTCTTGGGTGTCAATTAGCCAAACAGGCTGTGTAATCCGCACCTCTCTTTTGCAGGATATTCACACCAAATCCATCCTACATACTTGACCTAATACATAAACTCTGCTTGTAGACTTTGGCAGCAATTCAAGTGGAGAGTACACTGGGCAATCTGCAAACCTACTTTCAAACCCAACTGATGGGTTTCAAAATATTCTCCAACTATTTTAGTGGAGACCTAATCAAATGGGGAATGGTTATTGACTTGATTTTATAGTCTCTTGGAGAGTTTGAGTGTCTTTGCAGTACATACCACAGAATGGATAATGAACTGTGGCTGCTCAAACCAATGGCAGTGTCAGAACCCATGGTATTTATTGCTTCTAATCCAATGACTACACTGGGACTATGTAGATACGTTGAGGACGCATCTGTGGTTGCAGCAGAAATCATAGATGATGAGTTACATCAAAATTAAAAGTGCTAGAAAAAATGGAACAGGTTCCTATAATCTGGACAATCAATATGCAAGATTTGGTGCTGGTATATCTTTTGGGTCTGGTTTATTGTGAAGACTGTTTTGATTCTGATCTTCTGAGGTAGCTGATGAGTACGCAAGAGGACCATTTTAACGGCATTTAGGTCAACTGTGATATAGGAAACTGAATGGTGCATAGCATTTGAATGATTGTTTGGTTTCCTTCAAGTTGTATCTTATTGCTGGTACTTGTCCCTTCCTGAGTGAAGCTGTTCAGAATTCTTGGCATGATTGGCTCAGACAAGCCTGTCATCTGCCAACCAGTCTTACAAGACCCAGTGAAAAATACTGGCACACAAACTCCTCCAAAAAAAAAATGCTTAATTTGCGCGACGACGTGTCAGGCTGACTTAACGAAATTTCATGGATGTAATCTCCTTGCAGGCGAGTCAAAAGCTTGGTGGGGAACAATAGTATTATCAAACAAGAGCTATGCTAAATTTAGTGATACTCAGCAGATAGGGGTTTTGGAACTTGGTTAGGATAACAATAGATTTACGGGACAAATATGAAAGGGAAAAAAACACTAGGAGTAGATTGCGCGAATGTACATTTTGACAGATGTGTATGCATTGTGTTACTTAGAGATCTTGAGCGTAGATAGAAGGTATGCCAGATGAGGCATTTTTTGGGGGGAATTCGTGTTTCTCACAGTGACAGAGAGTAAAAGCTGTCTAACGAATTGAAGGCGGAGTTGAGAGCGGATGGAAGATGTGATGGGGATGGATCGGACAGATTGGGGTTGACGATCCTGTTAGGATTGCCGACGGAGCTTGGGAAACTCCAGGAATCCAAGCCGCCCGAAGGGGTATCTTTAATACAGTCGTCCGTCTCGCGGGTCTGATGCGACTGGGATGAAAATTTGAACGCTGAGTCGAATATGTTCTTCACGCTTGCAGTTTCGGTGGTCGATTTGGAGCCCAGGAATGAGCGCGGCCAATCCGAACCATCTCTCTCTGAGAGTGGCGATGACTTGGCGACTGAAGGCGTACTCCACACAGATGAATCCGATCTTAATCCGTCACCAGGAAGATGCGAAGCGTGCGTCTTATATAATCCGTAAGGCTCATGCTCTGAACCGGCGCCCTCCCGACCTTCCTCCAATAGCTCATGAAGAAATCCATCGCAGCCTAAATGATATTCGTCTCTTCCTTTGACAACTGAGTTGTGATCCTTGGCTACATTTTTAAATCCAAAAGTAGAGGCCTCCAAGCTATCCATTGAGCTTGCCTGACTACTGGAAAGGAAAGCGCTCGCCGGGGATGCCGCTTGATATCGCTGAGACGGAGGCAGATGATCGTAATGGAAGGTGGAAGGTGTAACGGATGGGATCGTGGCCCGTCGGCTGGTGCCTGCATCAGGGAATCGAATCCCGTCAACCGAATTGGTGGGACTTTCGACCGGTTGCGAAGACTTCCCACTTGGAGCCAATTCTTGCCAAGAGTGGCGCATCGCCCAAGAGGGGGGAGGGAGAGAGGCGGACCCGGAGCCTTGAGAAAGCGCTTTGGGGCGCGAATTGAACGGCAGAGCAGACTCTAGCGTGCGGGAAGGCGTTTGACGTGGTTGGAATTCTTTCGTTGGTTCGCTCGTGGCAGCATGGACGCTTGGAAAACGATGAGCTTCGGTTCGGATGGAGAGTCCCGGGACATCAGGTGAAACGTTCTTGTGAGCTAGATCGATGGACGAAGCGGGTATGTGAGTAGAAATCACGCTCGGAAAGACGTTCATGGAAGCAGCGTTACTCTGGGTGGCGGGGGTGAACTCGGGAAAATAATCAACTTGGTGCAGCTGATCCAAAGGACTAGTTGTTGGTGGGTTTGATTGCTCATACGCTTGGCCAATACTATGACCACAGACGGTAGAGACGATCTGCTTGATTGCGGCAGGATCCTGTCCTTGTACAATTTTCCACACAGACTCAAACGAAATTCCCAAGGTCGACGATAGCTTTTTGACATATTCCACTTTCTTGTCTCCAAGTGAGCGGCCCCAGCTCAGCCTGATCCGAGACTTTTCATGGATAGGAAAATCATTCATTTTGATGATAGCCTGTTTAGCGTCCTCCCGTCGAACATATTTCACAAAGCCATATCCTTTGTGCGGCGGAATCTTCACATATGCTATCTCTCCAAAGTTTTGAAAAAAGGTCTAGGATAGTATGGGTGGGCTAGTTAGGCTCGGAAAACATCAATAAACCCTAGTGCCAGATCAAAATGAACATACTTTCAACGTGTCCTCAGTGATACAGGCTGGAAGACCTGCAACAAAAACGGTGGTGCTCGAGGGATCGTCATTTGGCGAATTTTCTTGAAAGCTTGTCTGTGGCATGGTCGCCAAAGGTGCCGCGATCGGTATTGCCAATGGGTATCCATTGTAGGAGGAATACGCCGGATAATATGCCTGAGTTGAATTGAGCGAGGCTGCACCAATTGGCGAGGGGAAAATACCTAGGCAATAATAATCAAATGACAGATCAGTAGCGCGTACGGATCCGCATACATGTGGCTGAGAGTACTCACCATTGGAGGACATGTTGTAGCTTGCGGGTAAGGAGGTTCGGTGTGCGAATGGGGGACGGAGGGCTGCAGGTGATGCTTGAGTCTGGGTATTGGAGATAGAAAGACTAGATTGAGGAGCATGAACCCTGGCCAATGGGGTCGTGTACGGATTTAATATTGAACTATAGGCGAGATCGACGGGCGAAGAGCAGTATGCAGCTTGGGAGGAAGAGAACAGCGGAGTGAGAACAGAGGGCGAGCGCGTCTGGGAAGGCGAAGATGATAAATGTTGATCCATTGGAGTAGCACTACAGGCGAGTTGTAGATCAGACACGCGAAAGGATGACGCCAGTTGCTAGACAGTTGGTGAGCTGTAGCCAGCTGGACTGAACAGGAAGCGTCCGGGGAAGCAGAGATGATTGAGTCGACTGGAGGGTGACTGGAGGAAAAGGAAGCAGAGGAGGCGCTACTTGACTGGATCTCGTTGCAGTGTCATAGGGACGAAGGCTGAGGAAGCGGCCCCATGGCTTGCACAGAATGGTCGGCCAATCAACAGAAGAGTGGCACCCATTCACCGGGAGCAGCGGCAGCGATGAAGTTTTTTTTCGTATGAACCACAGTCAGGACGTGGAAGTAAACACTTGGGGAATCTTATCGAGGTCCGTTCTGAACTCTGAAAAGCATTTGAAGCTGATTGGAAATTGATTGTAAATAAATAAATGGTTCATGTAGCGTGTATAAGCGACCTTGTCCAATTCCATGCGCGACAGAGAGAGCCGGTGTTAGGCCGGCTGTCAGTAGCCAGTGCTCGTTATAAGCTCCTGTTTGGATGCAGTGATGTGGTGTTATATTTGTTGCGATTTCTGACTGCTGCTCAGAGGTGACCCCCAAAATTCTAACCCAACTCCATCCCAACTGGATCAACAAACTTGCCTACATAGCATAGATGTGTACATCATACATACACACACAAGGGCGGATGGGGGGGGGAGGGGGAGGTCCATGTATGCACGCACAACATCACAAAGTTGTGCCGTTTTTACAAATACTGTGGCAGGATATTTGGATCGATCAAGCTTTGCTGAGCCATGTTGCCGTTGTAGGCCAGCCCTGCCAGCCACGATGACAGTGTACAGACTCTACAAGACAAACAATAGATAGTTCTACATATGTACAAGAATCAGCAAGAATCCATGAACAACTAGAAAACGTTGTCGGTTTTCTGATGATACGCACTCATACGGTGCTTGGAAAACGCGGCCTGACCGAGTGGGCACTTTGGAGTTGTGCGGTGTGTTGCACAAATGCCTTTGATGAGTCAGAGTGAGGGTGCCATCGATGACTGAGCATGAACGTTAGCGATGGGAAGAACTCAAGCTAACTTGGCCAACTGGCTCTGTTCACCCGTGTTGTTTGTTGCCTGCACCAAAAACAATGTTCAACATCTTTGGTAATGCCTCAGCTTGGGGAGAGCAGCTTGAGAGAGATCTCGGTGAGAAAGTGCAATCGGCCGGAGCGCGTCAAAAACACTCGTTGCCATGTACCACCAGTCGGCTGTGGCTCATGCTTCCGTGTCACCGTCACCAGGCCATCGCGCTTCCCAACGAGAATTCGGCGCCGAATACATAGAAAAATGCCCATTGCCATGGATGGCCGAGGCGGGATGAAGGCCGTCAGGGCTGTGAGATGTCTAGGCCCAATGGACCGATGAATCCCAAAAATATGCAGAGTACGCATATAGGCATGAAATTGTCTTCAAATCTTGAACTGAGGAAACCTTGATTGGCTGTAGACTATAATGAGCTGCAGTGGATTCGAAAGCTGCGAGTTCATGCATTGTAACACCATCTCATCATATATCGACTTGAGCAGAAGACTAGCGACCGTCCAGACCAGGGCCTTCCCGGGTGCATCATCGGATGCAGAGTGCAAGTCGAGACTGGCACTTGTGAAGAGAGAAAATCCAGCTCAGGAATTATAGACACTAGCATACATTCAAGATTCAAAGACAAATCTGCTTCCAACTGTCAACGTGAGCGCGTATATCCTGTTGGATGTGCATCATGACATCACACCAACACCTAGGCCAAAATCCGCCAAGATGCATGGTGATGTTTCCAGCTTTGGGGAAATGTTGAGGACTCATGAACCTATCCAAATATCACACCACGTGCCTCGCCGGTTTAAGGGCGCCTCTATCTTTGAATGCAATGGCTGTGCAAGTTCTCTTCCAGCAGGCGTGCAGCAGTGAGCACACCCTTGAGCTGAGGAGGCGACGACGAAAAAAGCATAGGAGAAATTGTGAATAGATACTGAGCAAGATTCGGATATCAATCAGCCTGAAAGAGCTTGATGGACCTGAGGCTAACAGAGAGCCTCCCAAAGGGGATGCATCTTGGCACGAATTCAAGGAATTGCCTTTATGGCGATTCAGGTCCAATTGAGGTGCATATTTCCACTCTTGCTGAAGCAGCTTGTTTTTATCAACAACAAAAAAACCTGTTTCAGCTTGGTGTGAACTCCCTGACATTGCAACTGACATCGATTCCATCAAACACCCATTTAGCACGATTGGAGGGGTAATCCTTGCAACGGCAAAAGGTGATCTTATTTTCAAGGGGTTTGATTGTAAATTGGAAGCTCGTCAATTGAACCGTGCTTTCACTGGTAGTGATAATGAAGAGCTCGCCCTTAGTCCCAAACCCTTTGAGGGCATTCATCAGAGATTCCACAGTGACCTGGTGCTTGTGGCAATCCTTTGGTCTCTTGAAGTTGTCCTAGTTCTGAATCACAACACAATAGCAGGGTTCATGATTGAAATTTTGAGAGCCAATTTGAAGGCCTTTTCAACCACATCCTGAAAATTTTATGAGTTGCATTGATTTGGGAGTTTCTGAAAAATCCACAGATAAATTTTAACAATATTGATGAACACCTTAAAATGAGCTTTAAAATTCAATAAAGTCAAATCATGAACCCCACGGATAAAAGATCATCATGTTATCCGGAGGTAGGCTTAATGTCCTCCATGAAAATCTTGATGCTAGGGTGAATATCCGGAATCACAGAAGTGTCCAATTTGTCAGTCCCAGGGGCCAGACTCATTGCTAGAGGCCTTTTGTGAATCTTGATCTCCAAGAGCCCACAGATTGTGCTCAATTTCAAGAATAGTTTGAGAATCTGATGGCTCAGAGCCAGCCCCATCCCACACCCTCAGCCTGCAGATATCTGAGGCAGAGCTGGGTTTGTCTGAGTTTTTAACCTCAATTTATGTGTATTTTTGGATGAAAAAAAATGAAAAAGGTGGTTAAGGCAGGAAAACTCAAAGATAAAATGTGACCACTGTGACTTTTTCCCAGATGTTGGTAGGTCATACCTGCATATGCCCCAATTTATAGGGGGTTTGAGCATCTGACCGGATACCAAGACTGATCCCAAACTATGATCCATCTGCAGGTTGCATGGATTCTTCCATATTTACAGCCTACAGGGTCCAGATCAGAAACCTAGTTTCAGCAGGAGATTGTAAAGCTTGAGGGTGTCTACAACTCTATCCAGCAGAATCATGATGTACCCTAGCTTAATTAAGCCGCTCAAATGGAGGAGGGGCTGGGTGATCCCCCTTGAGTCCTGAAGGGATTTTCTCTGCAGGAGAGGATTATGCAGAGTTGCATGTGTTGTCTGAGTGGGATGGCATTTTGCCAAGAAAAAGAATGCAAAATGGATGCAATTGTTTTTTGAAAACACGCAACTCAATGCAATCCGATTCATAATGGCAAAGATGTAGCCTTGCATCTCAGCTAAATCCTCCATATTTTTGAGTGAATTGTTGTCTTGAACTGGCTGCATGGCAACAATTCTTGTCCAGCCTATTCCATATCATCCCAATAGAATTTTTGGTTTAACAAATTGAGCATTTAGACAAGACTTATGTGTTTTTTTCTTATAGACCAAAGTGAAATTGAAGATGTTGTAATTTGTTTGAAGAGTCCCACAGTCCAGAAAATCAGATCTTTAAATCTCCTGGTTATCCAATACCGTTCACACTGGGTATCAAGGAATGATACATTCTCTACATTGTAATGATTTCTGGGAAATGAACTTTTACAAGGGTCTGTGGGTATGTAGAGATGTAAAAAAATCTTCTGATTCTAATGGTGCCTTTGTAAAAGTGTGAAGCAAAAATGTTGAGGTACAGACTGGCTGAAAAGGAATTTTCCAGCCAAATGGCTAGTCCCCCTCCATCCAACAACCAACGGTCGGCCAGTTACACTAACTGTAGTGCAGCGGAATTCTGCTAAACTTTAGCGTAGCGTAGCGGAATACCGCAACATCTGCACTAACACTACGCGCATGGGCCCCAAAAAAGGGCCGACTAAGCTACGCTAACATGCTGGTTAGCAGTTTTTTGGCCCTGTAGCGCAGCGTAGCATAGCAAAAATCCGCTAAAAAACACTCACACCACAATTTTTTGGCGCAAAAAAAGTGCCGTTACGCTATGCTTTTTGGGCCAAAAGTGTAGTGGCCCACCGCTGCAACAAAATATAAAAAGCCATTGGTATCAACACTGGAACTAAGACAAGACAAGATGGTATCAGGTGTTTATTTGTATCATCATGGAATACCCAAAAATACCAATCCTTGTGTTATCTCACTTTCTTGAGACAATACACATGTATTGTCTTTGGAAAGTGAGACTAGTATTGTGTATTGTCTCAGAGGGATGATCCCACCCAAAATATCTTTAGTACACAAGATATTTGGTGTATCAAAGAAAAAAAAACTTTTTTTTGCATGAGTAAAGACAAATCCAAGACAGTGGATTTTCTCACCAACCGAGAGAATACTGATACCAGGTATCAGTCTCAAAAAAGAGACAATACACACAAATACCAAATACATGTCTCAACTCAGTTTCAGCGTTGTTGGTATGGTGTCTGATAAGTATGCAATACCAATATCAACAGGGGTCTCACCCACCCAGTGTTATTTTTGTTGTTGCAGGGGCCTTTACCAATACATAATACAAATATTCTTATTGCATTTGCAATGTCATATGATGTGTTATCAATACAGGTATTGCTATTGCCCCCTATTGATCCTAACTTGAAACAAGTCTCTCCCTGTGCTTCTGGGGCACAAGCACCCTCACACAAGGGAGGGACTTTTGAAGTTTTGCCTAATGGCAATACTCGTGAGTCATGGTTTGATTTCTAAGACTATGGTTAGAGGATAATTCAGACAAGGTACATAGCATGAGTGGAAAATACATGAGGAGGAAGAAAGAGTATATAAGTGTACAACATGTACATACAACAGCAAAGCACCATGTCTGGGGAAATCCTGGCTATGGGTAATGTAAATCTCAGACAGTAATGAGTGATGAGAAATGAATTAACCTAGAGGTAGATGGTCTGTGTATACAATTGGTAATCATAAATGGAAAGTCAAGGCTGTGTGTAAAGAAATATGTATGTAGTGTAGTTAAGGTTATCCTGAATGATGTGTGTAGTTAAGGTTATGCTGAGTATATAGTGTAATATGCAGTATTGGTGATGTATCATGATCAACAATGGGCCCACTACGCTAAAAGTAGCATTTGCATATTGTAGCTTAGCAGAATTCCGCTAATGCTTAGCGCAGCGCAGCGGAATTCCGCTAACGCTTAGCGTAGCGCAGCAGAATTCCGCTAATGCTTAGTGTAGCACAGCGGAATTATTCCACGACTGTGCTAACACTACATGTGTGGGC